GTAAACAAATTGTCATTTCGTTTACTTTAGTTTTCAAATTAACTGAATAAAACTGTCGTTGATGTAAATTTAAAAAGATCGTAACGTTGGAAATATTGTAAATATTAAGTTCCATGTTCTTTTATTTGCTGTCTAAGCGATATTTCTGTCACAAGAAACATTGTGTACACTCGATTGCAGTATTGAAACAGTTGAATTCACTGTGAGAGGAAAATGATATGGTTGTAACATGAGCATGAGGTATATCAGAGTTCACTTGCCTCTCAAGCTTGAGAAGATATGTATAGAATCACTGGGAGATATTAGTGTTATAATATTCTCCTGATTAAAAATATATTGGTGCAAATTAATCATTCATGTATGAAATATTTTACAGTCTATGCAATTCTATGAAATTTTAGTTCACAGCATTTTTAGACCATTTTTTTAATATTATCTTGTGTCAGCTGGTACAGGATTCTCCAAAAGAGTGGCAACACTTGTTCACACGCACTATCGAAGCTTTTCTTCTCTGTTCCAGAATATTATGGATGGTACCAATTTACGCAGGGAACGCTGTGGGTATAACTCTGTCATTTCACTCGAAGTACACGTGTCAGTGTGCACACATCTCGGCTCTAAGCGTGCTAACTCTTCTTCAAATTCTTGCAGTGGCTGGGCCTGATGCTGTCGAAGGGCGGCATATACGTTGACAATTTGAGAGAGTACTACGAGGCGTATGTAATTTACAATTTCATGATGTATTTATTGGCCTATGTGAATGCGAGACCCGAGGAGAGACCGGACGAGAGATCGTACGAGGAGAGAGTGATCGACGAGAGAGCCCACGAGGAGATCCTCGATCAGGATAGACCTGACGAGGATGGGCTCGATGAGGAGAAATCCGACAATGAGAGATCCCCGAACGAGCAGAAACCGAACGAGAGATCCAAATCCCTGCAGATGCATCACTCGTTCCCGTTTTGTTGCTTACACGATTGGGAGATGGGCAGGGAGTTCGTGCACAAGTGCAAGCACGGAATACTGCAGTATACCGCGGTCAGGTCTCTGACGTCATTGATATCTTTGTACGTATAGCTTTGTATACGAGGGATGCACGAACTACTTGATTCGAACGAGTCGATTCGCTCATTTCACGAGAAAAAAAAAAAAAAAAAAATCGATTCTGTTTCTTTTTGCAGTATCTGTGATCTGAACGGAGTGTATGGTGAGGGTGAATTTCGGACGGACGTAGCTTTTCCATATCTGGTTGCTGTAAATAATTTGTCTCAGTTCGTTGCCATGTACTGTCTGGTGCTTTTCTACCGTGCCAACGCCGAAACGTTGAAACCAATCAAACCGATCAGGAAGTTTTTCTGTATCAAAGCGGTTATATTCTTCTCTTTCTTGTAAGTTCGCTGACAGAGTTAGTTCTCAATGTTTGAATAACACATTCTCGGCCGATGGCTAGAGGTGGACTTTCACTATACTTGGTTTTTATAGTCAAGGTGTGATCGTTGCATTCCTAGTGAATTTCGGTGTGATATCAAGTATTTTTAACACGAGTGACACGGAGGATATCAGAAATATATCCTCGAACATTCAGGATTTTTTAATCTGCATTGAGATGTTTATGGCTGCGCTGGCCCATCATTTTAGTTTTTCATACAAGTGTTTCGTGAATCCAGCGCGGGGCCAGACGTGGTGGGACGCATTCAGGTAATGAAATCTTCATCGTTAAAAGTTGTTCATCGTTTTTTCGTGGGCGTGTCCTCGTTATTGATCGCTCGTGCTATCACGTAGTTAAAACTCGGGCAGAGTTCTAAACAGTCGCTTGTACAGAACAGCACTGCGATGTGATTTAGTTTTGCTTCGGTTTATCTCAATTTTACTCTAAGTCTTTTTTTTTTTTCTTTTTTTTACTTTTTTCTAGTCGTAATTTATCACAAATAGTGCCTGTTGCCATTGTTTTGCGCAAAAGATAAACCACTTTGTTAGAGTTCATTTTATTTCTGGGCAATTAGAAATCGAAAAGTAGAAACACAAAAAGTAAGTACAGAGCCATTCCAGCTATTACAGTGCATTACAGTCATGTTTCTACTTACTCTGTTTAAATGTGAGAGCCATTGAGAGCGAAATGGCACGTGTAATTTCGTATTTCACTGAACTCTGTGAATACAATAATCGTTGTTTGGATTCTCGTGTAACATGCACGCCTAGCTCTCTCAGTGTCTCGTACACAACAAGGAGATGTTCGCCCGTTGTGTTCACTGCTTCCAATAGATCGCGATCGATAATCACGGCCGTGGCCACAATAGAAATTTAACGTGCATCATATCTCTAGCTAGCGTTAAGTATTAAAAAATCTACTTAATCTTTTCAAGGGCCATGTGGGACGTGTCGGACGTTCATAATGACATTAAAGAGCATTTTGATGTACTAAGGTCCTCGTTAGGCCGCAGGATACGCGGTAGAAGTGCCTCTGCACAGGGCTGGAGGATGGTGACCGAACGCACGTCCCTTCTCCCAGAGACTTCGGGGACCACGGGCGGTGACGAGCCATCGTGTTCCTTCTCCAATACAGGGGAGACGGAAGAGGATGAGCTCGGTGTCTTCCACTCACTTCCGTACGTGGACAATACTAAGAACACGGTTAGCGTGTAATCCCTGTTGTCGGGGAAGGTCTCCTCCGCCATCCTCGTTACAACCCTTTTAGTTGAGAAAGAAAGAAGGAGAGAGAGTGAGAGACTAAGGAAACGTTAAACGAAAAGAAAAAAAAAAAAAGACGTAATTCGAAAACGGTGGCGTTCTTCTCTCCCGTGTGCTATGTTAATCTGTCGTCCGGAATCGTTTGAATAGCGCGCCTTATAGCACGCGGGAGAGACGACGCGATTTGGAGTGAATAGCCCTGATCGCGAACACGGGGATATTATCCGACATGGACGGCTATGTTTGCAAAACACACACACACACACA